TTTTTTTTGTCACTAAATCTAAACTTGAAAGCAAGTAAAAAGCAATTGAAAAAGAAAGCAAGTAATAAGCGAATGAAAAGCAAAGGAATACGAAGGTTGTAAGCGATTAAAAACAAACGTTGGGGCTCAAGGGGAATTCGCAGGGGTTCATGGACTAGGCTATGTCGATTTTAAACAAGTGATAAAGATAATCAACTACGTATGTTCTAGAACTCGAGGCACGGAAGTATGAATAGCCTACTTTCGCAGCACTTAACAACTATCTCTCGCAACCCTGATCAGTAGGTTTCCACTCTGATCCTGGAAGGGAGAAGATGCAATAGCAGAACAAGACTCATCAATATTCAAAACTCAACTACAGGTAGGTTTCCACTCCTATAGAAGAGATGCTCGTTTCACCCTAGTTCAGACAATCAATGAAAGCTTTCGCAACATATCTTATCAGATCGACTTCTAAGTGGCCAGCAGAGAATCACGCAGTAAGATTAAAGGCAAATGAAGAACATTTAGAAGATTATAAATCCTAAATCTATCGATTCATAAGCAAAGACACATGAAATTCCCTTTGAACAATCCCTTTAAACTCAACTGGGTAACTACTCAAACATATTGTAACAAAGTATCATAAACGAAATTGAAAGTGCAGGAAATTAAAGAGAACAAGGAAGGGAAACGAAGAACAGAGAAGCGGACGGAGGCGCGATGACTCCAGCGGCGGATCCTCCTCCTTCGAAGACGGCGGCTCCTCCTTAGGGTTACACGAAAATCTCTCTCTCTCTCTCCTCTTTGTCTATTAGTTTCGGTCTCTCCTCTTTAGAATGACCTAAAGAGGGTATTTATAGCTTTTGGAGTTGTCCTGGACACTTAGGGCTTCAAAAATAACGAAAGGAATTGATCTGGGCTTTAATTAAATCGTCGGGAAATTGAACGACCAATGTCTGCGGTCGCGGTGGCTCTACCCACGGGAAAATGGGTGTTGGCCGCGGTCACGGCTCATGCTCTCTTCCGGAACTGCATTTTCTGTCATTCTTGCATCGGGAGTATCTGAAGATCTAACCGTTGGATTGTCTCCAAACCAAGTGCATTAGAAAGCTGGTTGGATTCTCTATATTGTCTCAAATTTTGGGGGTGATCAGACGGTAAAAAGGTCTTCATCGCTTATCATACTTCTGACGGTCTGCATTTATCCAAAATTGCTCATTTGTTCCAAATTGCATATCTTTTGCCCAAGTTTCCTGTAAAGTCTTTTGAAACTCTAAAACATTGAAAAAATTTTAAAAACCATTGAAAACAGAGTTAAACACCTGCATAAGATACAATTATGATCCATAAAAGTGGTCAAAATACGGTGTTATCAATATCCACTTGTCGATTTCAAATTCTTAGAATCTGAAATCCAGTTGGCATCACTATAGCCTTCTAAGACTGCTGGTTCTTTACCGTAGTGCAACCCATAATTTTTGGTGAGTTATGGCCTTCCAATAATTATGACATGGATTACTTGTATAGCGACTAAATACATTTACTGAGTGCGCTAAATCGGGTCTAATACAATTTGTTAAGTACATAAGACTTCCGATCACCTTTGTATATTCCACTTGTGACACTGGTTCATCCGAATTTTTAGTCAAATGAAAATGAGGGTCAGTTGGAGTTTTTGCAACTCCATTTGAGTAGTTCTTAAACCGCTCAAGGATTTTTTCAGCATAATGTTCTTGGGACAAGATTATTCCATCCGAGTATCTTATAATTCTAATTCCTAGAATCACATCGGCAAATCCCATGTCCTTTATATCAAATTTGCTACGTAGCAAATTTTTAGTCCGATTGATCATGTCTTTATTGCTGCCAATAATGAGCATGTCATCAACGTATAAGCAGAGCAAAACATACCCGTGAGGAGTACTTTTGATGTATATACATTTATCACATTCGTTAATGCTAAAACCATTTGACATCATTACATTGTCAAATTTTTCATGCCATTGTTTTGGAGTTTTTTAAGTCCATACAATGATTTAACAAGTGTACAGACTTTGTTTTCTTGTCCTAGGACAACAAACCCTTCAGGTTGTTTCATGTAAATTTTCTCTTCTAAATCAACATTTTTACATCCATTTGATGGATTTCTAGATCTCTGTAGAATGATCTTATGAAAGGAATAAGATTCATCACGACTCTTTTACCTATAGCCTTCTTTTTGTCGACGACCCACGCCTGGCCAGGCTTGGCGGCGGAGGGGCGCTCGTGAGGCTTATTGCTATCTCTCTCACATGTTATTTGAACATGTATGAAGCATATCTTAATATATAGTAGAGATTCTCCCAACAAACTATGGGACAAAATCACTTACAAAATCAATTCATTTCTTCTTCACTTTCTGAATTTTAACAGACTTTTATTGGGCTTTTAAAATTCGATCCAACAAAATTAAGGTTTCCCAATAAAAAATGAAAAACCTCTTTTTGATTACCTATGCATAGTATCTAGTGACGGATCTATAGTTAATTTTTAGGGGTGCAACCATAAAAAATAATAATATCTTAAAGATTAAACTCAAACAATAGATGTCAAATTTAGACTAAATAAACTAAATTGAGTTAAAAGAAAAACCTTTTCGTTACACATAACAAAACTGGTAAAATATAAATTTATAGGATATCAGATGACTCCTATTCTGTAACGTGGATCCGCCATTGATAGTACCTAATAAAAGAGTTCGTCTTTTTCTTTTGAAGAGCCATCAATGTAGCACTTGAGAGTACCCGAGAACTCGCTCAGTGGAAGAGATGTAACTATATATGCCATCTGAAACGTCAATCCCTTGAGCTTATTTCTAGCCTAAAGCCTCACTCTCTACGTTTTCGAATCAACCCACATAATCTGAGGAAAGCTTGTTTAATATATACAATTACTAAAAACAATTCTCAATTTTAGTTATTTTTTGAATTGAATTTTATGCAGAGAGAGAACGAAAGTGCTGATAAGTTGGTTGGTACATCAAATATATCAAAAATGATGAAACTCATATGTATGTACATGTGTTTTAAAGATACGTTAGAAAGATAAAGACATAAAATACAATTCAACTGGAATGCAACTTGCAATTGTTTTTTTTTTTGTTTTGGATGAAAACGTGAATTTAATTAATGGGACGGTTTAATTAAATATGCTTAGCGTAGCTAATTGGTTCCTTAATCAGTGTAGAACAATGCTCCAGAAGAAGATGATCTCGATCTTGTCTCTCTGCTTGAGTATTGCATGTATGTTCGGCCTATGGCATACGCAACATAAACAATAAATTTCACCAATTCAAAATTATAAAAAGGTTATTGAAAATTTATTGGCCATTTTTTGTATAATGTTTATATACCATCTGGACTCATTTCGAATGTATAGGGTATCTGCTTCCACTGGACCGGTCTTGATTGCATTTACCACAAGTTGTAGACGTGTTGATTTCCCAAGCTGACCGTTATGCACGAACGTACGTACCGGCGGTCTAGATAAGATATCCAGAAGTTGAAAGCGATCTTGGGTACATGGCCTTTGAACCAGACACCCATGCTTTGGTTATGGCTGCTGGTTATTGGGTTATATTGGGTTGTATATTGTATCTTAGGCAGCAAGTCTCTTGCGGGAGAAGGGTTAGGTTTAATCCTAGCTATATCGTTGTCTATATAGTTTGTACAAGGAACAAGGGTTACATTTGAGATCATTACAACAATACATTCTCTAATTACACATTGGTCATCGACTCATCGTAGGTGTAACCAAATGTGGCTTGGGGAAAAGCTCTGGTCTGTCACAGTCCCTAAGACCGCGTTCAGGCATTGGCTCCATTACAATTTAATTTGTGGTTGTTGGATTTCTTAGTTTAAAAGTTAGTAAAAACGTTGTATATCAAAAGAATGATTTATAGATAAATATGGAAACATACAGACAAAAACATTATTATATTTTCCAGTTATTCCTAAATTAAGTATTAATTATGTATAACCTTTTCTGTTTTGCCAATAATTCAAATTTTAATTTGACTTCTAAATGTGTTATATATATTGCCATAAGTAGATATTCATAGATGGCTAATCTTCCCAAATCGTTGAAACTATGTCTATATGATCACATGATCACTAACAAATTAGTATATTTACTATTTAACAGTGTTAAACCAATCCTTTTCTTACAATTCTTTTCTTCATCTTCCAATAAGAGAGAGCGAGAGGGAGAGAACAAGGAAAAAAAAATGGCTAATCTTGGTCTAATAAGCACTCTAATCACAGTTTTTATTTGTTTACTTCCAAGCATCATCAAATCTTCAGAGATTACTAAAGTTGTTTTACCTAAATCCCTAAACGTTACTCTCTTTACCGATCCCTAAAACATAAGTCTATTGAAGTGCTTGATTTTTTGAAAAAAATGGAGGATTATTGTCAAAACACAGAAATTGCTTATCGTATATTGTTGATGATTCCGGTATCGGTTGCCACTGCTGAAAGAAGTTTCTCGAAGTTGAAACTGATAAAGAATTATTTACGCTCTACTATGTTGCAAGAGCGATTAAATGGGTTAGCTTTGTTATCAATTAAGACAGCTATGATTGAAAAATTCGACTATGATAGTTTAATGAACGATTTTACATAGAAAAATGTAAGAAAATTTATATTTTAGCAATAAAATATATGTTTTATTAATTTTTTTTTTTTACAAATTGTGTATGGAGTTTGATTGTTTGATGAAGTTTTTTTTTTTAATTTTGAAAAAAAATATAAAAAAAAATTATTTAAAAAAATTAGATGCGGTCATCCAAATTGATCGGTCCGGCACTGAATTACACATCTATGCTTAACGGTGTATTTTAAATTTCCAGATATGATTTTAACATTAATTAATTGTTATTTGGTAAAAATGATAGTTAAACGATATAGGATTTATATTCAATCATTGATTTAGATGTAATTCTGATTTTCTTTTTTTTTGATCAAAATTTATCTTTTTTCTTATGCAGATTTAATTATCCCCTTCAATTCACAGAGATAGGCGTCGTGTAATCTAATCTCCCACAAAAGCCTTCGCAGCATTCCGAATCCACCTTGAACAGGATCATGTGTCCATGCAACACCTTCCATGATTATGGATAATGCCAACATAGATCTTTGTCCAACACGAGCTCGTCTCATCATTCTTATAATATTTTGTGTACCAAACAGTTCATTAGCACATTCGAACTCGTCTTGCCTATAAAAGAAATAGATAAATTAGTATCAATTCAAAACAAATTTTGATAATCATGCTTATAACAAACAACTTAATTAGCAGAAGAAATTAGTCAGCAACAAAAATAAGAAAACAAGTACAATTCAGAAGGAAAATATGCAGCAAATGCGCAATTTCTGCTGCATCTTCTGTTTCTCGTGGTGCAAACTGCACAAGGACCGGGTCTAAAATTGTCTCCGAAGGCTTCCATCGCAATTTTTCAAAATTATTTTGATGAAATAAATCTGTAAATTAAGTAATTGAAAGATGAATAAAAAGAACAACAACAAAGTATATATAGGTGAGTTTCTGCAAAATAAACTCACAAGAAATTTATTATTATATCCAAAATTAGAGGATGTTCTTAAAGACTTCATGGTTTTTTTTTGGGTAATAACTCAAAATTTTGTTTGACTTCAAAATATATAAATTTATATAGATATTGCATTCGACAAACATATATAAATAGGTAATGCAATATTTATAAAATGATTAAGACCAAACTATTTTTAGTCACATATATAATTAATAAATCCCTTATCTTTTATTAATTGACAAGTTTAAATTTAAAGTATCTTTTGTTTAATTATCTTTACATCTCATGCCATTAGAAAATGTTTGCAAATCCTATTGTTTACCTAAATTATAAATGGGCTTAAAAATAAGTTGCACAAATACAATGTACTACATATCTTTATGATTCTTATTAATTTCATAAATCTAAATATTGGTGTATTTACAGATTTAATAATTTTAAAAATAGATAAATTAAATTAGTAAATTTAAGAAAAAAAGAAAATATAAATAAAAAGTTGAGTAACTTTAACATTCTAATTTCTATTTGTCCTTTTTTCATTTATTTAATTATTTCACTTTTAAAAAAAAAGATATTTCCTTACAAAATTAATAATCAAATGTCAAATAAATGATTACTTTGTAAATAACAATACTAAAAATAGAGAAATGAATTGTGTTATTCCATGGACCGTTAGAGCATGATTAACGCGGTATCCAACTGAATATCCAACTGAGTATCTTAGGATTGTTTTACACTTTTTAATCAGTTGGTTTTAATTTTTTTTTTTTAAACGTCTCTTATTTGACTTCTCGCGCGCATGCAAGTATGCAACAAGAACTTACTTGACTATTTACATATCTTATTTCTAGCAACCATTTTTTGAGAATCAAAGAACCTTAACTAGCGGATGAAAATTGCAAGAAATAGAAAGTGAAGGAAAGATCACACAAAGTTATGAGTTCGGATTATTCAGAATAAGCAACCTAGCTTATGTCCCAAATTCCAAAGAGGATGACGTCATCTTCACCTATTCAAAGCAATACGTGGACAAAACAACCAAAGTCTTTTAGAAGTATCATGCATGTCATAGCTAGTTCAAATCAAGGCTTCCCAACAGAAAATGAGAAAGTCTCTTTCTGATTAATCCAGTGGCGGACCTAAAATTAATTTTTAGGAGGTACAACCATAAAAAATAATAGTATTTTAAAGATTGAACTCAAACAATTGATGTCAAACTTAGATTAAATAAACTAAACTGAGCTAAAAAAAAACTTTTAGTTACACATAACAAAACTGGTAAAATATAAATTTATAGGGTATCAGATGATCACTCATTACAAGAAAACAAGGTCTATTCCCACGAAATTTCCCACCGAAATTTTGGTGGGTAAAATATCCCACGAAATTTAAAGAAATAAACCACGGTTAAGTGATTTGGTGGGAAAATTGTTGCTAATTTGCAACAGAATATATCGATAGAGATTTCGTGGGATATTTGCAACGGATTACAAACGAAACAAAATATCGTTGGTATTTACATTGAGAAATCGTGGGAAATCCATTGTAAAGTTGCGACCGATTTTTTTAGTCGGTAAGCTGTGGCGTTAATATATCCGTTTATAGCCGTTGTAGTTAGCCATTTGTATTTTTAGAAATCGATGGGAAATCTGTGGTTTTTACATGGGCAATTCGTGAGAAATCAATTGCAAATTTGCCACCGATTTTTTTGGTCATAAAACTGTGGCGTCAATATATCCGTTTATAGCCGTTGGAATTAGCCGTTTAAATTTTTAGAAATCGGTGGAAAATCCGTGGGAAATCGGTGGAGCATCAGAGATATTTTTTCTATATAAACCACTCTTCCCTTCTCACTTTTCATATATTCTTACAAACAAAACGGATCCAAATCTGAATGATAGATCCTGGATGTATAATACCCGTGTTGATTCTAACACAGGGTTGATTACAAAAGAGTTTGAAAAAGGTTTAATTGAGTTCATGGAATTTGCCACAAATCAAGACATTACCCGAAAAAAAGGGAAAATGTTTTGTCCATGTCCTTTGTGTGATAATAATAAGTTTATTGTCGTAGACAAAGTGTGGACTCACTTGTAAGCGAGGATTTAGGCCAAATTACCAGACATGGTATAATCATGGCGAAGTTGATTTAGTGAATTTGGCTAGTATGAATGCTCCTGTAACGGATAGGGTAGCGGAACCCAGACTTACAATAGGATCTACAGATACAGTACAAATGGTAAATGATGCATTTCGCGAGAATATGCCTTCATTTATGGAAGAAGGCAATAGAATAGAGGAACCCAATTTAGAAGCAAGGCGATTTTATGATATGTTGGATGCATCCAAGCAACCAATCTATGTTGGTTGTAAAGAGGGTCATTCTCCTCTGTCTGTTGCAACCCGATTAATGACCATCAAGACAAATTTTAATTTGCCCGAAGATTGTGTTGATGCAATTACTGATCTTATGAAAGATGTGTTACCACAAGATAATCTGTGTCCAGCGTCCTACTATGAGGTAGACAGACTTGTGGCTGGTATGAGTTTGCATTTTCAGATGATCGACGTGTGCATCGATAATTGTATGATATACTGGGGAGCAAACAAAAATTACTTGTCTTGTTTGTTTTGTGGTAAACCTCGATTTCAGAATACTGCCGGGAGAGTTCGAGTGCCATATAAACGTATGTGGTATTTGCCGTTGACAGATAGGTTGAAAAGATTGTATCAGTCTGAGCGAACAGCAGGAGCTATGAGATGGCATGCAGAGCATTCAAATGAAGGAGAGATTGCGCATCCCTCTGATGCGCAAGCATGGAAACACTTTCAGTCAATTTATCCAAATTTTGCATCGGAGAGCAGAAACGTATATCTTGGGTTATGTACTGATGGTTTCAACCCATTTGGAAAACATGGAAGACAATATTCCCTATGGCCAGTTATTCTCACACCGTACAATTTGCCCCCATCTTTGTTGTATGAAACGTGAGTTTCTTTTTCTCACAATACTCGTACCTGGACCAGAACATCCTAAGAGATCTCTTGATGTGTTTTTACAGCCATTGATTCATGAGTTACAAGAGTTATGGGAACACGGAAGTGAAGTCTATGATATTTCATATCAACAGAATTTTAAAATGCGAGCGGTGCTTATGTGGACAATCAGTGATTTTCCAGCATATGGAATGTTATCGGGATGGACAACTCATGGTAGGCTTTCATGTCCATACTGTGGAGATAGTACTGATGCATTCCAATTGAAACACGGACGAAAAACAAGTTGGTTTGATTGTCATCGACGATTTCTACCCCGTTCACATCCTTGCCGCAGGAGCAAGACGATGTTCACAAAGAACAAATTAATTCGTGATGCACCTCCGAATGAATTAAGCGGTCGTTCTCTCAAATTGCAACTAAGAGATTTTGGGGCATATGAAACTGCAGAATGCGGTGGAAATGGACATGTTTCAACTGATGGATATGGTGAATATCATAATTGGCACAAGAAGAGTATTTTTTGGGATTTACCATATTGGGAGGACCATCTGTTAAGGCATAATCTTGATGTCATGCACATCGAGAAAAACTTCTTCGAAAACATCATAAATACCGTCTTAAATGTTCACGGGAAGACAAAGACAACTTGAAGTCTAGATTAGACTTACCTGCTATATGTAATCGCACAGAGCTACATCTCATGGAAAACGGAAAGGGTCCTGTCCCTATATTTAGATTGGATGGAGATGCGAAAGATGAGTTTTTCCAATGGATTATTCATGGCGTTAAATTCCCAGATGGATATGCTTCTAATCTCCAAAACTGTGTTAAATATGATAAGGGTAAGTTATCTGGAATGAAAAGTCATGATTGCCATGTTTTCAGCGCAGATCTGTTACTGAAGATGGGTCAGTTCAATCAAATACCCTTTCCCAAACTGAGATCAATGCCATAGTTATGCAAGTAAGTGTTTTACGTATATGCATGATGTCGTTAAGTTCATACGACTTGAAATTTGTCATTTTGTTTATTTGTTATTTTTGCTATGATCATTTGAAATGCATAATTGCTTTTGTGAGTTTTTTTTATTACTGCTTTTGTGAAGACTTGAATTTTTACATATGCCCATTTGAAATGCATAATTGCTTTTCTAAGTTTTTTTTAATTATTGCTTTTGTGAAGACTTGAATTTTATACGTATATGCATAATGCACAATGGAGACTTGAATTTTTTATTACTGCTTTTGTGAGTTTTTTTTTTGGCATCTCCACTAATGTTGTTTCTAAAATCTCAGGAAATACCCAAGGTAAAGGGACGACATTTTGGATTTGGCACACTCTTAAGTTCAAGATCAACTTCTAGTAGTAAGTCTTGTGATCTGGAACATGAAGAGAAGTTGCAGTTGGCAAATGAGAAGATTGCAACTATGGCTGAGACCATCCAGTATCTCTCAGGTTTTGCAAAGAAGGTGCTTGTTAAGTTTCCAGAATTGCTTGAAGAGGATGATGCAGATGCAACCCAAGGTGACACTCAAGAGTAAAATTCTTTAGGAGTTTATGTATGTTTTGAAGACTTTTTTAAGTTAACGTTTAGCTTATGTTTTTTTTTGGTTTTGAAGACTGCTATGTTATGAAACTTATCATCTATGGAATTTTATGTAAGAAATGATAATTTAATTAAGAAATTTTGCAATTTAAAATATTAATTAGCAAAAAAATTGGATTTACATACTAAATAGTGGGAAAATAGTGGGAGATTATTAATGCAGATACCGTGGGAAAATAATGGGAGTTTTTGGTTGACAAACCGTGGGAATATTAGTTAGTAAACCGTGATAATATTTGGTTGGTTCACCGTCGCAAAACGGTGGCTAATTTCCGACAATTTTCCCACCGATATTTTCCACCGTTATTGTAACAAAAATTTCGGTGGGAAATTTCCCATAAATTTCC